GGGAATGTGGTATCTTCTAGTTAGATCAGTATTTCACACTTTTGTCAACTTTTACTCATCAATAGAAGATTCTTTTCTAGACTTGGGGGTTTGTGTGCTTAATTTCCTTTCCGTATAAGTGCGATTTTTCTTCTTTAGTCCAATCGTGCAATTTGGTGGGGTATCATGCCCATAAAAGAAAATAATATGCAATGATGGAATAGAAGTTCTAATTGATCTCTTCTTTCTTATCGCTCGGTCAAGAAACAGGAAAATACCCTGATGATGGTCCTTATGATTATCACTTGTAAATTAATTACAGTTTCTGTAAGACTTTTACTATGGTAGTGTCGTGTCGTGTAGTGTAGTGGGTGCCACCATCTTTCTAATATCGATTGATTTCGTTTGACGGATTAGGGGACAATAGGCCTCACTATCTCATTAAAAGATACCCATGTCTCCTATGATCCTATCTCTTACAGTAGAATATGTTCTGCCTTTCGAAAATCTACCGAATGAAAGTAAATTTTTAAGGATTGGCGAGTTAAGGATAATTTGTCCTTTGTATTCCTTTTTTTTCTTTTATTCTTTTTTTGGTAATTCTGTCATATTCATTCAAATTGCACACTGGGTTGAAAATAAATTAAGATCTAGTGAGGTTGTGAAAATGATAGCCCACCTTCAAAAGTAAGGATCACACTGGGTTGAAAATAAATTAAGATCAAGTGAGGTTGTGAAAATGATAGCCCACCTTCAAAAGTAAGGATGCGTTTGATTTGTTATTTTCAGTTTTTCAATTTTACAAAATACTGAAAACGTGTTTCATCTGGTAATTTTGAAATTTGTTACTCTTCTAACGTAAAAAAAATTCGTTTTAAGTATTCTTGGTGAAAATTTTGAAAACACTCGGAGCATAAAAAATAATTGCTTGAATAAAATTTTACTTCAAATAAAATTATAAAAATCAGAAATTTTTAAAAATATAAAATACTAATAAATAATTTTTTTTAAAAAAATAAGGTTAAAAAATAAATTCAAAACATAAAATTGATTATTTACATAGTCCAAGCAGTTAATGATTATTTACATAGAATTTGTAAAAAAGAACACAAATAAAAATATTTTAAGTCCATTTCAATAATTTTTATTTTTATATCCTATATTTTGAACTTAGTTTATTATTTCACTTTTGCAGAGAAAAAAAAATATTATAATATTCATCAACTTTAAAATGTATATGTTATTTGATAATATATTAACATAAAATTGTTCTATTTTTACTAAATAATCAAATTTTATGGAATAAAATATCATAAAATAATCTTTCAAAATTTCAAACCGAACATGATTTTTAGTTTTTTTGTTTTGAGAAATAAATTTTCAAAATGACAAATTAAACGTCTTTTTAGCAATTTTAAAATTGGTCCAAAGATTTTGAATTTTCAACCTATTTAATGCTATGATATTAGGCCTCTACATGATGGAAACTGATAATGTAGTTGGATGTAGAACGATTTAGAATCTTGAGAGCCTTTTTAAACGTCAATCTCACGAGGCAATTGGAAAATGAATCTCTTTTTTTGTAGTGCGTTCTGATCGAGAAAAATGCTCTTCCAAGTTACCATAATTTTGATCCAAAATTCTATAAAAAAGGAATAAAAGTATATCTATATTGTGAACTTTATTCAATGTCAATTTAAATCCCGGATTTTCAAATTTTGCTAGACTCTTCGTTGTGATGCAAACGAGAAAATGTAGAGTCATTACAATATGAATGACAATTCGAACTGTTAAAACTGAAAACCGCAGTTAACCGAATTGAATGAAGCGAAAAAAATCGAACCGATTGTGAAATGGGGTGGTTATGGTTTTGATTTTAATGCCCCGGTTCGAGGTGGGGCGAGTATGGTATTTAGCGATGATGCCGCCCCGAACCGCCCCGCCCCGAACCGCCCCGAACCGAACCGAATCGAACCGATTACCCGTTAAAAAAAATTAATTGGACAATTTGGCTTTCCATTATTCTTTCCCAAAATTAATTGGACAATTTTGACAATTTGACTTCCCCAAAATTCTGGTTCAATTAATATTACTAGGAAACCCTTAACTCAGTAACCTAACTCTAACCCTACACATTAAAATTGAAAATTGAAAACCAAATTT